TTATTTTTTATAGATATATCTAGTGGTGTTAAAGCTAGATGGCTGCCCCGAGAGACAACATGGATGAAGAAATGATGGATATTATCAACACCGGCACTCAATTTGCCGATGGTGACCAGCAGGATGTAGATGACGGGAGTCAATACCTGGCTCTTGAAAATAACCAAGAAAATATTGTGCAAGAAAATACTGGCGAGGTATATATATTTATATATATATTTGAATATTATATATATATATTTGAATATCTATCATCTATTATGTGTACACATGATATTTATTTATTCTTTTTTTATACGTAGCCCTCTAGATCGACGACCACAACAGCGAAAAGCAAAAATATTCGAGGCCCGAAAAAGCCATTGGAGGGGCGCTACATAATATCGGAATTCAATATCGAGACAGGCGAACCACTTGGTCCACATGCAAGGAAATTCGTGCAACACTGTGGGTACCTTGTAAGGGACATACTTCCGATCAGTGCCCGTGAATGGAAGCAAAAGATCAACGAGCCTCATGTTAGTTTTGTCTCTGATCTTGATAAGAATTTAATTTGGGATGATATCCTTTAACATTTCACGTTACAAGCGGATGATTATGATGATATCAACGATGATAAATTGAAGGAGCTAGTTCGAAAGTGGGCTATGAAGAAGATGACCACACAATTCCAGACTTGGAAGAAATCCCTATACACGAAATACGTTAAAAAGAACCTAATGCCCAATTTCAATACAGGGGCCCGCTCACGAAGTTGAGGCCCTACTGGAATAATTTTGTACAGTACAAGACATCGGAAAAGGGTGAGGAACGAGTGAGAAGGAACCAAGAGAATGCCCGACAGAAGGTATACCACCATGGCATGGGATCAGGTGGCTACGCAACTACCATTCCCAAGTGGGAAAAAATGGAAGTGGACATTCTTGCCAAGGGTATCACACCAGAATCACTCAATTGGCCCAAACGCGCGAAGAATTGGTTTTTCGCTCATGGGGGAAGACTGGACCTAGAGACCGGGAAGCTGGTTCATGGCCCAAAACTCGAAAGAGCAACACAAAGATTTTCTTATCCTCTACAAGCTAAAGCTATTGGTGCGTTCAGGCCCAGTAAAGAGAAGGATGAACTGACGTATGCCATCAGGACTGCTGAACATAGTGGTTGAACGAGAGGTTTAGGACGGAACATTTCTTGGGAGCATGGTTTCCCTAACGACAGAGATACCTACAGAAGCTGGCAGAGAAGGAAGGATGAGGAAGCAGCACGGATCAGCAGGTTGGAGGAATATATTCATGAGTCACGGGAGGCGTTGCTTCAAGCACAGGAGCACGAAAAAGACATGCAAGCTAGAATGCAGGACGAAATCATAAAGCAAGTGCAAATAGCAATGAGTGCCCAAAGGCAGGAATCAGATCTAGGAATCAACATTAATATTAGCCCCCCCTGATCAGTTGAAAAGCAGTTGCGCTTCCATGGAGTTGCCAAATCAAGATGACGCAATGCTACGTTTCTCTGTGGATGACATCACTGCACCGTTTACATCATGTGAGCTACATATTCCAAAAGGGAATGCCACAATCATGGTGGCTCTCGGTGTTTTTTCTCCTCCAGATCCTACCAATACACCAAAAATCCATGGGGCAATAATACCACTTGGATATATTAGCGTCTCAGTGAATAGAGTTAACAAATGTTTTAGTGATCTGACTCTTGATATTCTAGGAGGTGATGGAGAGAAGACTCTAGGAGAAGCATATAAGATATTCATACTATGGCGCAAGCGCTATATCATTATTCCCGGGGTCTCTAGTCCACCGCCGCTTCCTCAACTACCAGAGAATACGTGCGGACAAAAGTGAACGAAATAATTTTTTCACTAATTTCCTATTAACATGCATGATTAATAATAACAATTTCTTATACCTAATTATTCTTTTTTGTACTCACACAGCAGGGTCTCCGCCAACCTAAGTCCAATTATTCAATCTCTAGATCATCATAGTGCTTCGGGCAATGATTATGCAACGCCGCCACCGCGGCCACCTCCAAGGAGGTCTCCAACGCCTCCAAGGAGATCTCCAACGGCTGCCCCGCCTCCCTTGATGACTAAGAAGCAGTCAGCTCCTAAGAGGTCCACCCTGCAAACGAAGTCGTTGGCCCACCAGCCGGCAAAGAAGAAAGCCTCCTCTAATACAGTTATTCCTCAAAAACTGTCTTACGAGAAAAGTGAAAAGGAATTAAATGATGCAATACAAAAAGATGTGAACAGTTCTTCAAAAAGGTAAGAAAGCAACGAGAAGCGAGGGAGAACCCGGAGAAACCGTACTTCTACCTATCTCCAGATCTTCTAAGAAAGAAGGTGGACCAGAAAAAACAGGAATCTCAAAAGACCCTGCCAAAATCGGACTACGACCGCTCTCTCACCAAGTCATTTGAGGCGGTGCAGAAAAAGACTAGAGCAAAGAAAGGTGTTGCACAACTCGGACAATAATCGCAACAATCAGTCCCCCCTCTTGTCATTCGTAATGAATATGGTTCAAACTAAGACTTACTGGACGTCGATTTTGAGGACCTGGTTTGGTTTTACGAGGATACTGGTTTGAACCCTACCCAAGTGCTCGCTGAAGGACCATCTGCTCCGAAAGTGGATACTTGGAAGAAATTTGAACATGGAAAGAGTCTATACAACCCTGAGGCCTTAGGTGAACTGGGTACACAAAAGTACCTGCTAAACATGTGGTACATGGCGACATGTGAACAGGGAGAGACCTTTGTTTCTGTCAGAGTTAGAAACCAACATTACTTCCATGGCGATGACTTTATATATGTCGAATTTTTAGAATTACACCAACTATGCCACCTGGACTCTCTCGACAAAAGTCTCATTAGCTACTATTGTCTGTAAGTGTGATTATTTTCTACTATTAAAGTGTATATATGTAAAGATACATATATATATATATATAAATTATATATCCTCACACTATATTTTTATATATGCAGATATGAGATGACAGAACTCAGAAAGACAAATGATGTTGGTTTTGTTGATCCAAATATTGTATTCAAACACCCTAATCCTCTGCCTCAATGGAAAGCTGAACTCGAGAAAAATCTCATGAGGTTCTTAGTGGACCAACAAAATAAGGACATACTCTTCCCCTACAACTTCAAGTGAGTGTTAAATAATTAATATCGATCATATGGACATTTGTTCAATTATTTGCTTACTAGCTAATCTATCTCTCATATATATATATATATATATATATATATATATATATATATATATATATATATATATATATATATATATATATATATATATATATGTTGACTCTAGTTAATGTCGATCATATTTGTGTATAAAAACATATGCAGCAATCACTGGATATTAATGGTCATCGATATGGCCAATAGTTGGTTGAGCATCTTAGACTCGTTAAGAAAAGAGCAAACAGAGTACCAAGACATGATAGATATTATTCATGGGTAATTTGGTCTCTCTAGCAACTATATATACACCGATCTCTTAACTGCAACAATTCTTAAAGGCCAAATTAATTTTTTATTTTATTGGACGCAGTGTTTGGAAAAGTTTCATTGAGGAACACCACATGAAACATTGCAAAGTGTCACTGGATGTAATCGCACACAAAGTAAGTACTAGCTACATATATATATATAATTCAATTAACACCATGCATGCTTTCAATTCACCGGACCTTTTTTCTTGTAAAAGTGGGTTCTGAGGCAAGAACATGAGAACATTGCGAGTTCATCATGGCGTACTAAAAAAACTCCTTAAGAAAACCTCAAAATACGTTATATAAATATATTCATATATTTATAATTTCTTTTATTGCTCATATATATAAGTAATCACGTAACCAACATATATATATATATATATATATATACTTTTCCTTTAACTTTTATTGAAGACTCTATGGTTGAAGAAAAAAATCATACGACGTAACCAACTGAAAGCAATTCAAGATAGCATAGCAGGATTTCTTAATGACCAGGTCTTAAACCCCGCCGACGAGTTCTACAATGACATAAACGAAATATGGAAGCCAAACCAGATGGAGTGAATTTGTTATCCCAAAAATATGATAGAATATACAATACAAACTTTATTTGTAATATATATATATATATTATATGTATATAAAATAACGTACAATATATGTATATGCATGTAATATATACGTTAGTTTCATACTTTAGTTTGTATAAAATGTTCGAACATATAAACGTGTAGAATACGTATATTATTAGCAGCGTATAATACGTATTCGAAAACCTATTCAAAAACCAAAACGAATCATCAATTGGCTATTTGTATTCAGATCTGATCTAATTACATGTATTATGCCTGCTAACTTGGATCCCTTTCAAAGGTTATCATCCGTACATGTGCACAGCCATGTCCTTTACTGGATCTATGCCTGCAGATCTATGTTCTTGTACTGAACCGAGAACTTATGCTCTTTATCCTTTATTAAAGTAGCTACAGAATAAGTTATTTTGTAGTCAGCTGCAGAGTAGCAGTTATATATATATATATATATATATATATATATATATATATATATATATATATATATATATATATATATGAAACTGTATTCTACTGCGAATCACCCGAGGTCATCGTCTGATTACTACAAATCACCTCACCCCTGTCGTACGTAATTGCCTCGCTAATCAGCCCCGCGCCGCGCGTTTAGCCCCGCCCGCGCTCTCTACCGCGGAACCGCCCACGCGCGCGCAGAACCTGCTGCTAGGGATCGGCCGCGTCACGCTCTGCCGTCATCGCGCTCGTTGTCGCGCTCTGCCGTCTTCGTCGCCCTCGTCGTCTCGCTGCGCCTCGCCCTCACCCTCTCGACGGCGCGCACTGCTAGTGTGGCTAGGCGACTCGCCGCGCAAGACCTTCCTCAGGCCCAGGTATTCTCTTCCTCTTCCCTGCACCCACCCCTTCTTTCCGTCTTGAATTCATGGCCCAGGTGCGGGATTTAATTCCTATGCTGTTCTCCGTACTCCAGCAGCAACCGGCGGCAGTGGGCGTGGTGATCCGTGGTTGCCGAGACGGCGAGACCAGCGGCTGCAGCCGCGTGGTTCCACTCCTCGCCGTCGTGACTGGGGTTCCAGGGGACGAGGGACCACCGGAGGTCCCCAAGTCGAAGGGGATAGCAGCCACGGCATCTCAGCCATCTACACCAGCATTCACAGCCCTGGCAGCACCCACAACCAACACCTTCGACACTGGACTCGACGTCAACATCAATAGCGTACAGGAGGTGTTTGATGGAATACCCATGAGGTAAATAGCACGTCCTTTGGTCTCCATGTGTGTGCCATGAATCACTGGATATTACATGTACTAGCACTTCTGTGTGTTCTGTTCCTTCTCATTTCAGGTTTCAAGTTTTAATAACAGTTTGGTGTACTATTGATGTGAGGGACAATTGTTTGGCGGACATCCAAAGTGATGGTCGTTAGCTGGCGGACACCCCGTTTTGAGCAGTTTGCCGGAAGAAATTAGGCCACAGGACACCGCGGACCGGTTGCAGGCGGTTGAGGAGAGAGATCAGCGGTGAAATGACATTTTTGCCCCTGCCGCTTTCTTCTTCCTCTCCTCCTTTCTCTTTTTTTTTCTATTTCCTGTCCCCGCCACCCTCTCCGCCTCTGCACATCGCCCGTCATAGGCTGCGCAGCCCGGCCAGCTTGGGCTTGCCATGCTGCCTGGGCATGCACTTCATCCTGCGGCGGTGGATGGCGGCTCTCCATGGCGGTGGCTGCTTCCCAAGGCCGGCGTCGTCCACCTCCATCCCGGTGGCCGCGCGGCCTCCCTCTTCTCCCTTGCCGGTGGAGGAGTGTCCTGAGGTGCTCCTGGCCGCCGCAGGCCGTGCACCCCGACTCTTCCTCGGCTGGTGGATCCGGCGGCCTCTCTAGCGGTAGCGCCCTCCATGGCCCGATTGGGGGCGGCGGCGGCGCCCTCCATGGTCACCTCGGCATCTTCAGGAACGGCGGCAGTGGTCGAGCACGAGGTGCAGGGGAGGTGCGGCGGCCTTCCATGGCCACCTCTGGGGCTGCGGCGGCCCTCCACGGCAACCTCTACAGCGGTAGTGCCCTCCATGGCCAGATTGGGGCCGCCGCGCTCCTATCGCCAGCAACAGCGCCCTCCATGGTCACCTCGGCATCTTCGGCAGCGGCGGCGGCCGGTCGAGCACGAGGTGCAGGGGAGGCTGGCTGGCCTTCCATGGCCACCTCACAGGGGCTGCGGCTGCCCTCCACGGCAACCTCTGTAGCGGCAGAGCCCTCCATGTCCAGATTGGGGCCACGGCGCTCCTATCGCCGGCAGCAGCAGCGCCCTCCATGGTCACCTCGGCATCTTCGGCAACGGCGGCGGCGGTCGAGCACGAGGTGCAGGGGAGGTACGGCGGCCTTCCATGGCCACCTCTGGGGCTACGGCGGCCCTCCACGGTAACCTCTGCAGCGGCAGCGCCCTCCATGGCCAGATTGGGGCTGCGGCGCTCCTATCGCCGGCAGCAGCAGCGCCCTCCATGGCCCGATTGGGGGCGGCGGTGGCGTCCTCCATGGTCACCTCGGCATCTTTGAGAAGCGGCGGCGGCGGTCGAGCACGAGGTGCAGGGGAGGTGCGGCGGCCTTCCATGGCCACCTTTGGGGCTGCGGCGGCCCTCCACGGCAACCTCTGCAGCGGCAGCGCCCTCCATGGCAGATTAGTCACATGGCGCTCCTATCGCCCGGCGGAAGCTTAGCATGGCATGGTCATGTGGCAGCTCGCCGGCTTCGTCCCGTCGTCTGCGTGGGCAAGGGGGCTGGTCGGCGATGGTGGATTGCTTTCGGCAATGGAAGAAGAGAAGAGGAGAAAAGGAGGAAGAAGAAGATGGCAGGTGGGGGCCGCGCGTCAGTGAGAGGGAGAGGGGCATACCCAACTGTGGTTCAGGGGCACCGGATGTCCAAAACGAATTTTTCTCTCTCCTCAACCGGCTGCAACCGGTCCGCGGTGTCCTGTGGCCTATTTCACCGAACCAGAGTGTCTTCTGGCAAACTGCTCAAAACGGGGTGTCCGTCAGCTAACGGCCATCACTTTGGATGTCCGCCAGACAATTGTCCCTTGATGTTATGACATCTTTTTCATGCCAAGCTCTTGCTAAAGAACTTGTAAGATCAAGACATGCTGTTAGTCGTCTTTACGAAAACAAGGCTCAACTAAATTCAGTATCAATGCACCTTGGAGAAATTGTTGGTATTGCTATTTTTGACTTTTTTGTTGGTTTGGGGTCTGATGTTGTCCTTGAAAATTTACTGTTAATTTCTGGAAGAGTGATTCTGTTAGTTAATTGTCAAAAGCATGCCCTTTTACTATCTCGAGGATAAGTAATGCAGTATCGATATTCTATACAACTCCCAACTAAAATTTCTTTTTGTGCACAACTTATCTTTTGCCACCAGGTATATCTTTGGCGAGTGTGGAATTTTGCAATGCATACTTTATTTGTTGCAGCACTGTCATGAATTTATCATGCATACTTTAGGTGTTCAGGATCTTATTTTTCTTTGCGGAGTTCTAGAGACAATCCAACTAATGGACAGTTGTAGCTGTAGTTCTTGCTAATATTGACCAGGGACATGAATCTATAATTCAGAGATTCAGAGCTGATATTGCAGTGCTATATTTGCATCCTTGAGCGGATGCACGTTTTTCTTTGTTAGATTCAAAGCTTTTGGGAGTATACCTTTGTTTATATTTAACTAACCTGATGGTATAGCAACAAAGCCAATGCTAGGATTAAGATATGAAAGCAGTTTTTCAGTCACCATTTAGTGTGATTACACCAAGGCATATAACCGTCCATTCATTGTGGCCTGATACTGGCAATGCCAATTGCCAAAAATGACCATTATGTTCTGCACAGTCTAGATGTGAGTTATGACATTAATTGGATTAAACTCTCTAAGCTGTTGGTTGTTATTGCAATACAAAGTCGGCCCCTGTCCCGTAACGCCGACCATGACAATGACGCAGTATTGGTGGTGCAGCAGCAAGAGGATTGGTACTGGAAGGTTGGAATACGTTGTTGTGAAGGTCCTGCCGCTGGAGCAGGTGCGCGGAAGGCAAGGGCCCTAATCTGCCATCATCAACGGTGTTGCCAATCCCAGGTTAGCTGAACCATCCATACACTTTTTGTCGACTTTACTTTCCTGCTGCAGTGAAGAAATAGTTGTTGTTTCAATTTTTCAGCATATAAATAGCAGTCATGTCTGGCCAATACTATTATGTGTAGTCTGTGCTGACCTCAATAGTGAAGTATTTGTCATGATGAAGGCATTTAGGCTTGAGATGTGTATGAGCTTTCTTAGTTCCCCTGTTTAGCACTTTAGATTCTTATTATTAACAGAGCTCTGACTGCCCCGCTCTGCCCCAGTCCGGACGACAATTCTGCAATACCTCACAGAGGTCCACTAGGCATGTGCCATGTGTGTGACTTCAGTCTGTAGCTCTATGCTGCTTGTTGGGCAGAGGATGACGTATGGCAAATCTTCCCTCAATGCTGATGTGTTAGAAAATGAATCAGAGTCGGCTCTTTGGCGCTGAGAAGTAAGTTGGTTGTTACTTTACAAATTGATTCTCTTTTGATTCTATTGTTTTGTGTTTTTCTTTGAAAAACTGAATCTTTTAAATGCATATGCAGACAGGAGATCCTGATCGACAGTTACTACCAGTTGGCAAGTGAATGCTTCTCTATGTCATCAAGTTGATGGAGAGGAATGGGGTTCGAGCCAGATATCCAGACTTTTAAAAAGATCATCAGTGGGTTCTATTGCATTTGTAAGATGCACAGCACGATGTGAGTGCTTCCCTTTTTTTCTGGCCTTTGTGATTATGGAGACAGTAGTATAGGGTGCAACAACTATCAGACT